GAATTCCTTGTGTTGTGCTCCATATGACTAGATGTTGGTTGATATGTGGAATCGATAACGTGTATGCATATAATTATGTTTAATGTGTGATGATGAGATTGCACCACGTAGAAATGGTACATGGATGTGGTCCTGCTTAGTATATCCGCGATGAGAGACCATATGTATTCAGGGGTGATCATGCTTGGTATATTCGCGATGGGTGATCACTGCCTGCACGATGAGATTATACCTATAGTTCTGCTTGGTATATCCGCGATAGGGAACCTTACGCATTCTAGAGGTGATGATGATTGGTTGTACTTGGTACATTTTATAGGCGATCATATTTGGTTTGGTTCTGTTGAGTGGTCCGGAACCCGAGGTTGTTGAACTTCGTGGAGTGGCCTAAAATCTCATTAATTGGAGAAGTAGGTTTGGCCTAACTGTGTCACTCTAGCCTTAGTTTGATATATATTTGTGTCAATGGTTTCGAGAGTCTTGTGAATTGAGTTAGAAAAGATGTTGGACGTCTGAGTGACTCCTTCGGGATTTGCTAGGATTCGATTATGATTTCATAAGGTATGAATTTATAAGATATGGAATGATTGTTATTACTTTGATCAAATTAATTAATTAATGCGGCTAAAGAATGGTTTTGTGTTTTGTCGGCTCTTAAATATGATGTGTGTTGTAAATTGCAATATCATGATGAGACACAATGATTTATATGTTGGTGGGAGAGAAATCATGTTTTCATGGGGATTAGTTATGTAGCCTGAGTCCAATAACTATATGTTGTCAGGTTATAATAAATGATTGAGGAATGCGATGCTTTTCTGCTTGAACTTAGTGGAACAAATGTCTGTTTTTGTGATAAGTTGAACTACGAATGGCTTGATCCCTATTGAGGGTACGTAGGCAGTCTAATGAAGAGGTTAGATGCAGCTATAAAGTATACGAAAAATTATTATGCATCTGGATCTTGAATTATATTTTGTATATTTTCAGGAGGCGGGGTATGTTAGATATACGAGTATTTGGTGACATCACGTGTCAATCCTGGACATATGTCGGGATCGGGGTGTGACACTTATCATGGCCAACAAGCGGCTCATGTCCACGACGGTGTTGTGTTCACGTTTTGTCGGTTTCACATCCTATTTTTCTTTAAGGAGACGATTAATGATTAGCATTCTAAATATGATTATAAACCCTTCAAATAATTTCATTAGTTGGTACAATTAAGGCATTTTGATTGATCCCTTTTGTGATCACCTCATTTTCGCTATTTAATTAGTCCCTGAAACTTCTTGCATTACATGATGTGCATGGAAATGTCTATTAAATAAAATATTGGGGATCTTTGAAGTCGTACTATGTTTTAGATCAAAATCAAAGAAACAGCCTAATAATTGATGTAATTAGTAAACATTGACACATAACATAATGCATTCTTTATTGGAGCTACAACCTTGTCTAGTTTCCGTTTTTTGTAAGTGTATATGTTAGTTTGGCATATGTAGTCGGCCACTCTGAATTGAAGTGTGCAACTCCTTTGTGGAAGCTTCTTTTGTTCTCAGTTGTAGCAAATGTCTCAATCACCGAGACGAATTTCTCGAATTTTATCAAGTACATGTTGATTTATGTGCTCGTAACTATTTTTTAGCATGAATAGTTGCATCTTCTTATTTGCAAATGTTAAGAATAGTTGCTCATATGTGCATATACTATAGGTTATGAATACAGACATATCTTGGATTCTAATTGGATATTTCGTGTTACAACATAAATAGTAAAGTTGAACATTTTTCAGTGTACCGAAAATACGATCTGATACACCACATGCCTTTTTCCAATCATGGACTATATTTAATAAGTTACCATTAAAAGATAACTCTTGATTTGGCTAAACTGGTGTAACAGCTAAGGGGAGGCCTGGGCTGCATATGGCGCTTCCCCAACGCCCACTTCCACCGCCATTTATGTTCCCTGGCCTCTCCACCTTCTCCGTCTTCATCACCGCCGGGAAAAACCCTCCTCCTATTCTCTCCCACATCAAACACCCAAACCAGAACAATCAACACCAAAAACAACAAAACGATGACGATGACGAAGGACGAAGTCAGAAATTTAACTAAGAGGGGGCACCTAAATTTGAGCTCCTTTTTTGGACAAATAAAGCTAGTTCATTTACAAATGCTAAAAAAATTAATTTTAAAATGCCTAATCTTATTACTCTATTGTCTAATTTTGTCTTTAATTGTTGACAATCTAATACTCATTTGTACTAAGTAACCAAATACATGCAACTCAACAAGGTTTAAACATTAGTGCGTGAGAAAAATATACAGGACGGAGACGCATTTAAAAACTAAAGGAGGATTTTTACTATTTCAATATAATTAATTGAATAATTTGCAAAGAAAAAAAAGGAATGATTAATTGAATAATGTGTAATGCAAAAAAAAAGGGGCATTTTGATATAGGCGCTTCGTTTTTTAATTTTTTAGACTAAACATACACTCATTTTGAAAATTTGATCAAACATTTTCCTAAAATTTTGGTTATTAATTTCAGTTCCTATTATCCCTATTATCCCTATATTTATGCATTTATTATCCATCTCCTAGGAATTTCGTTTTCTTTTTTTTTCTTTTCCTATTATCCCTATATTTATGCATTTATTATCCATCTCTATGCATTTTTTTATTGTTTGTTATCATATTTACTTTTTTTTGTGAATATAGTAGAATATTTATAAAAAAATTGTCAAATTTTATTATTTAGAAGACCCAACACATAGTAAAGATTTGTTTGATTATATAGCTATGTCTAGTTACCTATAATATGGACACATTTAGTTTTATAGTGGATTTGATTTTTTGTATTTCTTGGTACATTTGGAATGTAAATGTACCAAAAGGGTTATCTGATAGAGACATTTGGTTTTGTGGTACATTTGAGATTTTTTGTTCATTTGGTCTTTTGATATAATAGGAATCTAAACGTACCAACAGGATTACCTGACAATAGGTACATTTGGTTTTATGGTACATTTGAATTTTGGTACATTTGGTTTCTCTGTATATTTGAAATCTAAACGTACCAAAAATGTTACATAACAATGAGTACATTTGGTATTATGGTACATTTGAATTTTTGGTACATTTGATTTCTTGGTACATTTGAAATCTAAACGTACCAAAAGTCGACACTTTTGTTCTCAAATGTACCATAAGTTTTAAGTATATTTTTTATATATCTATACATGAAAAAAAATATGTATTGAAGACTTTTTATTGATACAATTTTAATAGAAAGAGTATTTTTTTTTAAATACTGATAATAAGGAAATGAGGAAATAGTTAATTAATTTTTATTTTATTTTATTAAACAAATGTCATTTAATGCGCAGAAGGGGATTGAGGAAATTAAATTCCTATATTATAGGCAATTAGTTGCTAAGCTACCTTATGCCTCTATATAAATACATTTAAATTAATGACACGGAAATTAAATAAATAGAAAATTATTGAGGTGGCAATTGATTGAAACACCTTAATCAAATCTTTAAAAGGGATGAATGTTTAATCTAACAACTATAGAAAATATGTAGGGTATTCTAATTTTTCAAAAAAAAAATGAGATGAGAGGGGGCATGTGCCCCCACTCCGTCCATGACAAAGCAGAAGAACAAGAAGAAGGGGAAGATGAAAACAGAGTACAAGGCCGTGGCCGAGGGAACTGGACGATAGTGCTGTCGTTGAGCTTGGTGGGTCTGCTCACCGGAATCAGCGTCGTCCTCTTCAACTACTCTGTATGTTTGATTTTTATCCATTACTCAATTGTCCATTTTTGCTTTTCTTGCTTGCTTGTTTGCAAAGTTTTGAGCTTTTATTTGAAATTTTACACAAATTGTAAATGTTAATGAGATTAGGATGTGTGTTGTCCACCTGTCTGGCTTGAGTCCTGCAACATGTGAGGGGCGCGTGAGGTTATGAAAAACTGTACCACATCAGAAAGTTAAGGAACCTTCCATTAACTTATAAGGGGTCGGGCTACACCCCCATTTCCAATTTGGGTCGGAACCTCAGGTTCCGTCACTCATTACCCATTTTTTCTTTGCTTTTTTCTTGCTTGCTTATACATAATGTTTTGAGCTTTTTCAGAGACTTTGACATGAATGGGAAGGTTCATGAGATACGTGACGTGTTCTGGGGTGGGATGCGGCAACGGGGAGCTTCGTGGCTGAGAAAGGAGTACATGGGAGATACGTAGAAGCAGGTGATTCTGGTTCCAGCTTCTGGGGGTTTGTGTAGAAGTCTAATATCTTGCAGTAACCAAGAGATTTAGAGAGAGAGAGAGAATGAATATGAGAAGAATGATTCTCATTAACTTCCACAATGCACCATACAAAAGGATATAGACATATAAATAACTGTCACCAGTTTTACATAACAGTCTTATCTACCAATTACTTAACCACTATGGTAAGCACTAATCTGGTGCCTTGAGTGCACTGTGATATGGTGATCCTCTATTACCCTTAACAGTTTGATTGTTGCCATAATAAACTTGTTTTGAGATGCTCTTGAGGATGGTTCACAAGATAACAATGGCAATGATCAAGGAGGAGAAAAAAGGAGAGAATTTATTTGTGAAAATGGGAATGCCTATTTTGGTTTTTGATGGTTTCAAGGAAGCATCGTGTCCTTTTGTCAAGGCAATTGCTGCTTGTGTCACACTTGGGACTGGGAACTCGATAGGTCCCGAGGTTCTAGCGTTGAGATTGGAACTTCTATAGCCAAGGGTATTGGTGCTGTGTTTGATAAAAATTCACAGAGAAGGCTCTCTCATGTGGCTGCTGAAATTGCTTCTGGTTGGTATTCAGTTTTGTGTATATCTATGCTGCCATTATCAATACATGTATGCCCTCATTGTAATTGTTGTTCTGTTTTGACAGGGTTTAATGCTGCTGTTTCCGGTTGTTTCTTTCCCCGTAGAGTCCATCACCACCTAATTCCTCATCCATTTCACTTGTGAATACCACTTCTATGGTCATACTTAGTGCGGTGATAGCTTCTGTAGTTTCAGAAGCTGGTCTTTGTTCTGAACCAGCCTTTAAGTTCCCATACTATGACTTCCGCTCACCTGCTGGTACACTATCAATTATCTGTTGATTCTTCAAAATGGTTCTTTTATTTTATTTCAAAATGGTTCTTCAAAATGGCATCAGTACGTAATCTCGGGGTATTTACTTGCTCCTGGTAATGTGATTTGCCTTTACTGAATATGGTTTCTGAATTTTCCCATTATTTGGTAGTTGATTTACATTGCATATTCCAAATGGGTAATTTCATATATGATTGTGTTACAACACTAGTTTATTCACTCTACTGGGACGAATTTTTCAGGCATACCTTTATATCTAGAGGTTGATGTTCAAGTCATTGTTTAAAGCTGCGGTTTTAATAATGAGACGTATTCGTATCATTTTCAGAGCTTCCGCTATATCTATTGCTGGGTGTCCTATGTGGCTTGGTTTCGTTAACCTTATCAAAGTGCACATCATACGTGTTGGTATTTGTTGACAATCTTCACAAGACAGTTGGCCTACCAAATTTTTTTTTCCCTATCGTGGGTGGCTTGGCTATTGGGCTGATGGCATTGGCATATCCTGAAATTCTTTATCGGGGTTTCGAGAATGTTCACATTTTGCTGGAATCTCGACCATTTGAGAAAGGTCTCTCAGCTGATCAGTTTCTTCAGTTGGTAGTGGTCAAGATAGGTGCAACCTTATTGTGTCGAGCCTCTGGATTAGGTGGAGGCTACCATGCTCCATCACTTTTTACTGGTGCAGCAACAGGAATGGCTACTGCTCAAATAAATTACCAACTTCACAGATCGATGGACAGTAAGTTTGAATGACTTTGCTTGTGATCAAGTCACCCTAAATAAATTTGATCGTGATAACGTTTATATCTGGTCCGCAGGCTTATTCATAGTGTCTTGTTCAACCTTCACAGTTGGTTCATCCACTGATCCAGATCCCATATCCAAAGCCTGCAAATATCAATGTCAGAGAGAAAACTATTAGTGGGAGGGTTTTCTTATGAAATAGGAACCTGATTCCACACCCACTTAGTGGGAAAAGGCTTCGTTGTTGTTGTAGTGTTTAAGAATAGACAAATGAATTGGCAGCCAAATACAGTGAATTATAGTCTAAATGATTCCACACCCAAAAAAAAGTTGAGCTCGAGAGATGATTTGTGACGTACCGGATCTCTAACTTCAGGTTCAATGATCTCTTTCTTTACTCTGCTTGGTAAAGGCTTACTGTAAACCATAAATCAGTAAATTGCAAAGATGAAAGTGCTAGATAATGAGACCAAATTAGGAGAATAAATTGAAGTACCGTTCATCATCAACCTCCATATCAGAATCTGGATCCCACCTCACGTCTGGGTCATCCTGTTCCTCATTCTCCTGAAAGAATTTCACAAAGAATAATATTAAAACATTGAATACAAGCCCATATAACAACGTTAAATATTGAGTACAAATAACAACTGAAATTAGATAGATTTGAACTAGCAAACAACATTCTTTATATCATAAACTTAGACATTAATTAAAACTTGATTTACAAGTTTCAAAAAATAAAAGTGATTTGTTTATGGATGAATACCAGAAGCAGGTCTCCAGGCTACATTGCCAACATTGGAGTAATTATTTGCAGGTTGAAAAATATTGGATAAATCAAACATAACATTGCTTGGTAGCACTGCTGGAAGAGGGCGTCCCTCCCTAAACTGCTCCATCAAAGATAATGTGGCATGATGGGTAGTCAATCTATCAATCTAGACTCAATTTAATAGTATATATTTATGGATGTTTGTATGTCAATTGGCCAGCAAAAGATTACTCCCAATTACAAATAAAATTTTATATCTACAAAATATCTATTGCATGTGTAAGTTTTTATATCAAAATACGAACACATCATGCAAAGAATGAACATCGAGGAGCAAAGCATCTCGCAGAAAAATATGCTTGATTGAGCCTGTTATGTTCAGCAATTCAAGCTAATGAGAAAGTGCATTCATATAATCAATATTTAACATAATATGCCCCTGGTTATCATTTTATACAGAAATTCCTTCAACAAACAAGTATACAGCTTCAATAACCTATTTGTCGAAATGATCATGACCCAAGAACATTTCCCCTTTATGCGATAATCCTAACTATTCCATAGTCATCTTATGCTGCAGGCTTTCACTACGACACAATTATAATGTAATAAACAATCCTTGATCAATCCTTGGGTCATATAACACATTTCTAAAGTCTGCTTACCACCTCAGGTCGAACGGATACACCAGAAGGTAAATTAATGACCTGATAACATAACTCTCTCAACCTCACTAACAGTAATACAAATTATTCATCTACTTATTTTCTACCATTTGAACATCAATTCCGCATTTATACTAGCACGAAATAAAAATCTCAGCTTAGATAAGAGAATTAAGACATCCCGAGCTCACATTTACCACTTCAACTCCAATTAGTCTAAAAATTCAAAATCAATCTGATTCGGAACACAAATATAATCATACACACACATCCAATTATACATATATACACAAGCATATACATATGTATAGAGAGAGAGTACCTGCGCAAGGACCTGTTTGGGTGACCAGAGCCCTGGAAGAAAGCGACGGCTTCATTGCCACTAATCCGGCCATCGCGGTCCAAATCGGCCCGTCGCAAATACGCATCGAAGAGATCCACATGCGCCAATTGGTTCTGCGTCGACGCCATCGCCACCGTCGGATTGCGATTCGCGGAAGATCAGACCATGGAATCAATCGAGAGCGCCTCGCTCTCAGGCTGCCGTAAGCATGAGGAGCGCCGGAAGAATCAGAAAACCACGAATTCGGAGGATCAGGATTTGGTTACCCTTCTTCTCCGATTCGGAGGAAAATCAGAAGACGACGGAGACACTGAGAGATGCCAATAGTTTGAGGTAGAAAAACGATCGTCGTTAATCGATTTTTCGTTTTGATATTTTGTGACAAAAATGGTTCTGTATTTGTTGTGATATTTCAAAATTGCCACTGGTCCTCATGAGCCCTGCCCATTAGGTACTACCACAACAAATACAACTTAGAAATTAGAGTTGGTTAGCAAGTTTATGTTTTCGATTTGTCAACTTGTACAAAGTGGGGAAACAAAAATGTTAACACATACAGAAAGGTACTAATTAATGCGAGATTGAAAAGGAAGCTACAATGTAGAAATCAGAGCGATTTGTTTGTCGGATATTCGACATGTGATATTGTCAGACTATAAGCTGCAGCTGCACATTTAAGCATCGTTCTATAAATCCGTCTCAAGAGGAAACTTAATTGATAAACTATACACACTCATATAGATTAACTACTCTTATCATGGCCAACAAGTAGCTCATGTCCACGACTGTGTCGTGTTCGCGTTTCGTCAAGTTCACGTCCTCTTCTTCTTTAACGAGACGATTAATGATTAGTGTTCTAAAATGTGATTATAAACCCTTTAAATAACTTCATTAGTTGGTACAATTAAGGCATTTTGATTGATCTCTTTTGTGATTACCTCATTTTTGCTATTTGATTAGTCCTTGAAACTTGTTGTATTACATGATGTACATGGAAAGATCTATTAATTAAAACATTAGGGATGTTTGAAGTTGTACTAAGTTTCGGATCAAAACCATAGAATTGGCCAAAACCACAAAGCTAACCTTAATAATTGATGTAATAAGAAAACATGGACACTTAATGTAATGCATTCTTAATTCGAGCTACAACCTTGTCTAGTTTCTATTTTTTTGTTACTGCATATGTTGGTTTGGCATATGTCGTTTGCCATTTTGCATTGAAGTGTGTAGCTCCATTGTGGGAGCTTCTTTTGTTCCCAATTGTAGCAAATGTCTCAATCACCGAGACGAATTTCTCAAATTTTATCAAGTACATGTCAATTTATGTGCTCCTAACTATTTTTAGTATGAATAGTTGCACCTTCTTATTTGCAAGTGCTAAGACCAGTTCCTCATATGTGCGTAAATTGTAAGTTATGTATATGGACATAACTTGGATTCTAATTGGGAATTTGATGTGACAACATAGATATTAAAGTTGAGCATTATTCCTGTGGTATGTATCGCTCAAATTTCAACGTCCTTCCAATTACATTTGGTAACAAAAATTTCCTGTGCAAAATGTGTATTCTCCATTCAAAGAACAGAATCTCTATTTATTTTATCAATGACATATTGCCACTCAGTTTCACAAATATGAGAAATTTTTCAGTGCGTTGGAAGTACGGCTGATATACCAAATATCATAATATAAGTGATTGAATTTTTTTTTTCAAATATCGAATCATTTGTATTATGGCACGATATAATGGACCGTGTTTCTGAAACATCATTGTACACATAAATGGACTATATTTAATAAGTTACTATTAAAATAACTCTTGATTTGGTTAATATGAAAAGAAAAGGAAATTAGAGTAATTATTTTATATTAATATGAATTGTTAATATTTTGTCCGACATTTATCCATTTGTTGGTTGTGATTGGACTGAACAGTTGGCTCAACTGGTGTAGCAGTTAATGGGAGGCATGGACTGCATATAGCCAGCGACAGAGCCAGAAATCTGCATGGATGTGAGCATCCTTAAATAATAAAGTCACAAATTAAAAAGTTCAAGAATGTATCAAACAAAACACTCATATATTAATTCATAAGGTTTTTCATACAATATTTTACGATATCCATCAATGCGTTTTTATGTTTTGTAAGCATTATATGACAATCTCATTACCAATACCATCAAATATCTCTCTATAAAAATAACAATGTTATCATTCATTCGTTGATCTTCCATATAATTTCACAATCGATCTTCATAAATTTCATGGCCGAAAATGTCCTTTCAACGATGGAAGTAGCAGATGAACGAGTTAATACCAATGCCACAAACAACTGAAAGAGTACATTTAAAAAAAAACTGAGTGGGGGCATCCGCCCCCTTTGAGCCCAAAGCGGCTCCGTCCATGCATATGGGGCTTCCCCAACACCCGCTTTCACCGCCATTTATGTCCCCTGGCCTCTCCCTCCTCCCCCTCCGTCTTCACCACCGTCGGGAAAAACCCTCCTGCCATCAAACACCCAAACCAGAACAATCAACACCAAAAATTATTCCCCAACGCCCACTTTCAGATTTTGATAATAATTTCTCAGGGCTCTCAACCTAGCCCGGGCACATAAGATTCCGAGATCCACGTGGCTGCCTTAGACCCTAGAAACTACAAAGCCTACGTGGCGCGCAGGCCGAGTAATTAATGAGCTAACTACGTCCTTCGGTGAATACGGGGCGTGCCAACTCGTCGACCGAGCTCGGCCGAGGAGTAAATTTGTTGATGTTGCGTTGGGTCGCGCTACTGACTTCTGCGTCTTGCGATTGCGGCCGAGAAAGGAACGCGTCTCGGCCTCTTGGGCTCTCGAACCTGAAGACAAGGTTACTATTCTTACGAAGTTCAATATCAAATTCGGCTTTCAATGTGCCGAATGTGATAACTGTAACACCTCACTTCGCCGAGGAGGCTGATGAGATGACCTCGACCAATAAGGATTTATAAACCCTTCTCGACCGAGACTTGGATAGGAAATCAATCGTTCTCGCCGCAGTGCTGTTGATGCCAACGGAAGATAAATAAAAGAGAAAGGAACATTGAGCAGATAAATAAAAGAGGGAGCCTTCACATAGGCTGCTTAGGAGGAGCTTCAGTAGTCGGCGGAGCCTCAGCAGTCGGTGGGGCCACAGAAGGAGGAGGCATCAGAGGTTGATCATTTGGAGCTTCACTACGCGGTACAGCCCCAGAAGATGAAGGCAAATGCTGTTGGAACAAACCCATAAACCGCTGATGATCAAGTAAAATCTGACCATCAGATTCCTGCATCTGATCAATTTTCCTCTTCATGTTTGTGGCATAGTTGTGTGCAAGCTTGTGCAACTGTTTGTTCTCATGCTTGAGCCCTCTAATCTCCTGCTTGAGACTCATCACTTCAGCCGCCAACGATTCAACTTGACGGGTTCGAGCAAATAGGCGTTGGGCCATGTTGGACACGGAACCTGCACACTGCACACTAAGAGCCAGAGACTCCTTAACAGCCAATTCATCAGACCGTTTTGCAAGCAGTCTGTTATCTTTAGGAGTGACAAGGTTCCGGGCCACCACCGCAGCTGTCATATCATTCTTCATCACTGAATCCCCAACGGTAAGGGGACCAGTAGGGAATATGAAGGATGGGCGCCATATGTTGTCTGGAGAAGGCGGAGCTGCCTCTTCACCAAGGTTTAAATCAAAGCGACGGTCGGAAGGGCCAGACATTTTTCAGAGGTGTTAAAGAAAGAAGAGGTCGGACAAGTCAAGATCGTAGAAATGCAAAGAGGGAGTTTTTAAAGGCAGAAATTCAAGTGTGCTTTGAACGTCCTGCATACCTCTATAAAAATCAGTACGCAATGGGATTTCAGGGATCGAAGAGGCAATTCCAGAAATCGAAGAGGCCAACTAAAAAAATCAAAGTGGCGCTAGCTTTCTCAAAAGCTGAGCTTGCTCAGAAATCACGGGCCATCATTTGTTCCAGATTTGTCCGCACTCGTCACATGCAAACTCTGCACTCGACGGAGCTCAGATTTCGAAGAGGCAATTCCAGATATCGGAGAGGCATCTGCTTTTCCAGACGTGTCAACATCTGTCACATGCAGAGTCTGCTTTACGGAAATCACGGGCAATCTGTCGACGATTTCTGGTAAAGTAGAAAGCACGTGAAGTGTACTGTTCAATCATCTAATGGTTGCCGATAAGAGTAAAAGAACAGTACCGGTCATTATTTCTTATAAATGTCGACCTTCACCCTCCATGGCAAGGCAGACATGCATAACCTTCCATCATCTCAGAGAATGCCTTTCCAACAAACCCTCTCGAGTCACTCAGTGTTCCTTATTCCTTGGGGTACCTCTGTAAACAACCCATCCAAAGAAAAAGTATTTCATATCATAAAGGTTGAAAGCAAGAGTATCTCATATCATGCTTTCTCCCTGTCCTTCTCCTTGTCTTTGTTTTACGACAAGGAGAAAGCGAGCAATCAGCCAGCACTTGGTATAAATCTTCCGATCTGGAGCCAACTGCCTGGAACCCCTTCCTGATTGCTTACCTAGCCTTGCTCTCGAGTACTCATCTTCATCATCTTATGTTTCCGTTTTGTCTACCACATCTACTTAGGGAACAAGTAAGGGAAGTGAAAATGATACCTCGAAGCATGTGGAGACAATTTGCCAATTCATCCTTAGCTAGGGACAAGGAGAAAGAAAGCAAGAGATGGGCACTTGGCAAGATTGAAGAAAGAATCAGACCAACACAGCTACCTTGTGCCAGCCCGCGATGCAGAAGAAACAAGCAGAGAAGAAACAGACTCACATTGCTGCTCTCCTCGCCTACACAAATCGGTGTGTTCTTTCCTTTTATTTATGTGTCTTTGCTTCATTTCATATTTCTTTCCTTCCATTTTTATGTCTTATTGTTCAAAAATTTCTTTCATTATCATTGGGGACAATGCTATAATTAAGTTTGGGGGTGGAAATATACTTCGTTAGTTTATTTTTCTATAAAAAAAATTAAATAAAAAAAAAAGTTTTTGCATTTTTATTGTTGTTTGTAGCTACTTCTCAATTCAATGATGAGATTTGATCTTAATTTCCTTCTTACTTTCAAGAAAGTCTAAGCTCTTTTCGTTGTCTTTGTGTTAACTGTGATTTCCAGAAATCAACTTGAAAAATAAATGTGCCTAGTCTTGTCAATGTGAAACTTGAGCATGATTTAGCGTTTCATATGTGAATCATGGGAGATTATGTAAACCTTGTGAGTTTTTTAGCCTATACATGATTGAACCATTATGC